ATGGCGCACGTCCATGTGCGGTGTCTCTAGGAGGAGACTCAGCGGCACGTACGACACGGGCGACGGGCGGTACCCACTGGTGTCGACCCAGTAGCTATGTCCGATGACACCCGCCCACGCGCTCTCGGGGTCAATGGCCTGTCGACGGACGCCAACGATCCGCAACGCAGCCTCCAGCAGCCTTAACGCCGGTGCTAAAAGCACGGACGTGCGCAGGAGCGCCATGACCGCGCCCCACAACAGCGCCAGAAAGAGATATTCGTGCACCATCGAGAAACCGGGCAGCGTCCGTCGGAGCTTGCAGAGCTCGGCTATCAGAAATGAGAGTAGCGAGAGGGGGAGCGCGCCCAGAAGCAGCGTCGTCACAAGATACCCACGCGTTTGAATCGTGACGCCGGGCAGCAGGTCCATGTAGACGAGGGCGAAGAAGATCCACGCAAAGGACGCAAGGCTAACGACGCCGTCGAGGTGCCCGAGGCTGTCGACGCTGCAGCTGTACGTGGCGTCGGTCGCCATCTCGTCGATCGCAGCGGCCCACGCGCAGCGAATCTTGGCGGCGTCGATGTGCCACGCGAGAAAGCTCACGAAGCCCACAAACTTCATCGACGTCCGGTGGTGCATCCAGATAATGCAGCTGATGTTGGCGTTCGCGACGCTGTAGCGCCGCTGCGGCTCCGTGTTCTTGGCGGTGGTTTCCGCGAGCCAGCTTCGCAGCCGTCGCAGATAGAGGCAGATACAAACGCCATAGTACCCATACCCGACGAGCGAGAGGAGCGCGATGAAGTTGAGGATCATGGCCTCGTCCCCGTTCGAGTACGTGACGACGATTGCCGCCTGCGTGCCCTGCGAGAGCATGTCCATGACGTGCGACGGGTAGTCCGACTGCGGCGCGCGGCCCCCGACAAAGCACGCGAGGATCGCGACCGGACTCGCCGTCTGATTGGCAATCGCCGTGCGACGGACGCCATCCGCCGAGAGGTACGTCACTTTGACGCTGGAGGCGCCCGTGCCGAGCCCAAAGCACTTGAGATCGACAAAGACATCAAGCAGCCCGTGCGCGACCTTGTCGACGGCCGAGACGCACACGCCGCTGCGCATGTAGGTGAGCGTCGTGCCGCCACTCGCGGTTTCGTTCATGCAGACGTTGAAGCAGCCGTCGCCGACGAGGCAGAGCTCTTCGAGCGCATCCGAGACGACGATCGGCGCGTTGTTGACCGTCGCGACCAGTTGCTTGAAGAGGCCGTTCCACGCCGAGAGGTTGCCGCGCGATACGTACTCGACGTCGGCGAGCGCCGCTTGCTTCCTCGACGTGTACGCAAACCCATGGGGTGCGGCGACTTGCGTAAAGTCGGCATTGTCCAGATGATACTCGTGCATCCCCGAGAAACGCTGCGGCGCTCGTGTCGACGCAATTCGCGTCACCTGGCTGCGCCTTGCACGCGGCAACGGCGCTCGCAATGGGGCTCAGTACGGTGAGTCGACTGTTGGAACGCGGACGTCGGCCGTAAATGCGGTACGTCGCGAGGCCCGACGGCTCGCCCGAGAGCGATAGAAAGCCGTCCATAAAGGTCACGGGTGCGAAGAGCAGCGAGGAGCCGGCCACGTGCGTGCCATCGAGGTCGAACTCGGTCGCGAGCGCCGACGCGAGCTCGATGAGGCTGCCGCCCGTGGCCAACAGTGTCTGTCGTCGCGTGAGACAGGTGGAGAGGTACGGATACGTGGCGTTGAGGTCTGCGGACGCATTCTCGCCTCGGAGACAGAGCACGGCTTCCGTGACGCCCGCGAGGCGGCAGTTGTGGAGGACCGGGGCGACGTAGTAGTTCGTCGTAGGAAGCGCGAGGGTGGCGGGCGGCGCGGTCAGCGTGCTGCGAAGAAACGGACCCTCGTCGATGATGGGCGACGCGGCCCAAACAAAGTGCGATCGCGGCAGCACGAGAAAGTCGAGGGCCACGTTGATGTACCGCTCGGCGGCCAAGGGCGACGCAAGCGGAATGCCAGCAGAGGCGTAGAGCTGCGTGAGGAACCGGCCGTTGAGCACCGTGTTCCACTCGAGCAGTTCGGTGCGCGTCGTCGCGTACGAGAGAAAGCCGTAGGTCGTGATGGCCCACGTCTTGAAGGGCGACAGGAGGTTCCAGAGGCAGCTCAGCACGAAACCGAACGCGACGAGCCGCGTCCGCCGCACGACGGGCACGTGCGCGAGGTGCGGCGCTGGGTGACTCGCGTCCCGTTCCTCCAAGTTGCTCACCCGCGGCGCGACGCGGATGGCCCGGCTGCCGTAGACCATCGCCGATGTATTTATAGGCCGTGCGGTTGTCTCTGGCAGACTATTCGAAGACGTCGGACCCACGTCTACTGCGGAGTCCAGCACTCGAGTCTGTCGAAGCTCCATCCAGCGTTTTCCGTCCTCGGCCGTAGAAAGCAGCTGCTCGGCGGGCGATGCAAGCAAAACCGATATCTCCTGTCTTTAAACATGCGTCACGTGTCCAGTTGGCCCCTGTGACACGACTAGCTGCGCTGTTGGTCTATCGCACGGGCTCGGCTAGACTGTTTGAGAAATCGACTGAGGATATATAATAGTTACAGAGTATATGCAATCTTATATGTATAGATCGATCTAGAATGCAACCGAGTCGACTACTCGTGCACGCGCACGTAGTACTCGAGCTGCGTGTGGAGCCAGAGCGGGTGGTCGCTGCGCGCGGTCGTCTTGTCGGGCTTGTTGAAGACGCCGTAGGTAAAGTACTCGTGGTCGTAGATGTTGCGCAATTTGAGGTTCCTGGTCTCCATGAGGACGCTCAGCGGCACGTACATGACTTCTTCGTCCCGATGCAGCGCCGATTCGATCCAGAAATGGTCGCCGAGCATCGCGTAGAACGGGCTCTCGATGTGCAGTTTTTGCTTCTTGACGCCGACGAGGCCGAGGCAGAGCTCCACGAGTCGGTGGACCGGGCGCAGGAGCGGCGTCCGCAGAATGTAAAACACGAGCAGCCACAGCAGGACGAGGAAGAGCTGGTTGTGGATGAGGAAGAGCGCCGGCGACTGCAGGCGCGCCTTGCAGATCTCGGCGACGACGATCGCGAGCACGGACAGCGGCACGAACCCGAGGAGGAGCGCGGCGACAATGTAGCCGGGCATGTAGATCGCGATGCCCGGCATGCGGTCCATAAAGACGAGCGCGTAAAACACCCACGAGTACGAAAACAGCCGGACGACCTCGGTGAACGAGGATAAGTGCCCGAGGCTGTCGATGCTGCAGCTGTACGCGGCGTCGACGCTCACGTCTGCGATCGATTGATCCCATTGGCACGAGCTGTTGCTCGTGCCGAGGTGCCACGCGATGAAGCCAAGGAAGCCAATGAATTGCATCGAGGTGCGGTAGTGGCTCCAGATGACGCTGCTGATGCTGCAGTTGACGACGCTATAGAGCAGCTGCTTCTTCTGGCTGCTCTCGGGCAGGAGCCGAATCCACTTGGCCGTCTCGTAGAGGTAGATGGAAATGCGCAGAAAGAAATACCCGTACCCCGCGAGCGAGAGGAGCGCGATGAAGTTGAGGATGATGGCTTCGCTGCCGTTGGCTTTGGTCATCACGATCGACGCCTGCGTGCCCTGCGCGAGCATGTCCATGACGTACGACGGGTAGTCCGACTGCGGCGCGCGGCCACCGACAAAGCACGCGAGGATCGCGACCGGACTCGCCGTCTGATTGGCAATCACCGTGCGACGCACGCCATCCGCCGAGAGGTACGTCACCTTGACGCTGGACGCGCCCGTGCCGAGCCCGAAACACTTGATGTCGACAAAGACATCGGCAAGACCGTGCGCGACCGTGTCGACGGCCGAGACGCACACGCCGCTGCGCATGTAGGTGAGCGTCGTGCCGCCGCTCGCAGTTTCGTTCATGCAGACGCTGAAGCAGCCGTCGCCGACG